TTCAGCTATGGTTAGTCCCCTTTGGTTAACATGAACATTATGGAGTTTTGATTATGGCAGCAACACATAAGCAAAAAGAATTCTTTATTAAATAAATCTAGGCCATCTCGATCAACTAAAGAAATCAACTCAATGTTTCTAGTATCTACCTCTCCACTCCATGAAAACTCTAGCCCAGCATTTGAGGTATTAGCAGTTTGTGCAAAATACACTACAAATATCTGGGAATCTTTGTAAGTACCAAAATAAAATATTTTCCTTTTTTGCTGTGAGAATAAAAGGCACCACTGCAAAATAAACATCTTGATAGAAAAATATCCTAAGACTTTAACTTCCCAAATACCCAAAGGTAATACCTTAAGATTACCCTTGGAAAAATGGAGTCCTAGGGGACAGTTTTCAAAATGTCAAAAATCAGTACAAAGCTTATAAACATTCTTATGGAATCCAACATGTTCCAAATGGCAGCCACATCTGGGGTGGGCTCTGGCCACCGCTTGATCCATCTCCGCTGCGCACAGAGTCCATGGCTATGACAGGCTCCTTCCTTGACATGCTATGACACACGCTCCTTAAAGAACCATCTCTGGTGATTTGAGTTACTGCAGTCTCGTAAGAGTGGCACAAAGCTATTGGTGCTGCTGTTGTTGACCTTCTTCGTGGCCTGGATGCATTTCCCAGACCGTTCGTGAACCAAAGTGCCATCCTGCCAATGGTAACAGACACTGGATGTCCAAGATGATTTCAAGTTACTCCTCAGAAAAGTCTTTGTAGATTGACTGACTGGGTTATTTTTGAGACAGGGTCTCCCTGTAGCCCCAGCTGGCATGGAACTATGTAAACTAGGCTGGCCTCGATCTCACAGAGATACACCTGCCCTTGCCTCCCAAGCACTGGGATAAAAATCATGCACCATCACGCACCCTGCTTGTGCAAAATTGCAACCCAGGACCTGTGTGCATGCGTGTGTGTGTGTGTGTGTGTGTGTGTGTGTGTGTGTGTATGTGTGTGTGTAGTGCTCCTGGGAGGCAGGCTGCCTCACACTAACCCATTAGAGCAACAGCATCAAAAGCTGGCTACTCCTTCAAGAAAATCATAGAGATCGTTGTTTATCTGTCACTTCTCACCAACCCGTACGCTTCCTTCTCCCAGCATTTTAACAGTCAGGACACTTGACCGTTGTCTGAACTTTGCCGAAATGCAGCCCGGTGAGGGAGATGAGTCCCCCTGGCCACCTGGCCTGAGTGTGTCACCTGCTTCCTATCTGGAAGAAAGGCAGTGTGTTCTCAGTGGTTCCAGTCCTACACCCCAGAGGATGATGGTCTTTTTAAATCCCCCCCTACCTGAGCTAGCTTAGCAAGCCTCCTTTTGCCACTTCTCTTGTTCCTCCACCTCTCTGAGGTGTAAGCTGTATGGTGTAATCATGGTCCAACCACAGAGAGAATGAATAATCTCCGCATTATGAGGGAGAGGCCTTCCTTACAAACATCAGATGCTATTAGCCCTTCCAATGGCTCCTCAGTCACCTACTGAGGAACTTGGAAGTAACTAAACAAAGCCCAGACTTTAAATGGTCACTGAAATTTAAGGTAAAATTCTTTGTGTGTATGTGTGTGTGTGTTGTGTTGCATGCATGTTCACATGTGTGTGTGCTTGTGAAAGTCAGGGGAACGACATCAGGTGTCTTCCTTAATCACTTCCCACCCTATTTACAGGAGACAGGGTGTCTGCTGAATCTCAAGCTTACCAATTCTGTTAGTCTTAGCTAGCTAGCTTTCCCTGGGGTTCCCCTGACTTGAGCCACTTTCTAAGGGCTGGATTATAGGCGGCCACCACACCTGCTTAGCTTTTATGTGGGTGCCAGAGATGTGAACTCTGGTCCTCACGCTTGTGTAGCAAGTGAATCATCCACTAAGCCCTCTGTCCAGCCCTAAGGTAAAATTCTCAGGGATGCATTAGACCGGTCTTACTGTTTCTAGCCTGCATTATCACTCTTCGAAGGTTTACCATGGAAGAAAAAAGTAAAGAGAAGAGGATTATAAATTTGTGGGATGTGCAGATGTATTTTTTTTCCTAATTTTAAGACAGGGTCTTGCTACATAGCCCAGGCTGGCCTGAAACTCACAATCCTTCTGCCTCAGCCTCCTAAGTGCTGGGATTTCAGGAGGGTAATACCATACCTGGCTTCTTACTTTTTTCTGTCAAATACATGACAGCACAGAGATTGGCTCTTTTGGACACATTGCAAATTCCATTTAACTATTACATTTTTCTGTAGGAAAACATATTCCAATTTTGAATGGTACTTAGGATTAACCAATTTATGAGCAGTACAGAAGGATTTGACTATTCCTGAGGATAGGAATGGAAGTTTCCTGGGGTGATGAAAGATAACTGATTTTTTTTTTCTATAGAATTACTTTGCTTGGATTTATTTTCTCTAGTGCCTTTTAAAGTCCTGTGACAGACCTACTATGAATGAGCTGGGGGCCTGAGCCTTCCAGGTATGAAAAACACCAAGCTTAGAATCAACAATTTCTGGAAAGCCAGCCCCATCCCGGGAGTGTTTTCTTGGTGATAATACCACAGTAGCTACAAATCTCTATAGGGTCTCACAGCTTCGAAAGAAAGTTCCTAGATACCCATACCAAGTCCTCACCAGAGCAAGACAGGCCTGCTATTAACATTCTCATTTCAGGGCAGGGTGAAATGAGGCTCAGAGAAAACGATCATTCATGCCTGGGTCTAACCTCATGTCCTGATACATGTGGTTTATTGCCCTGGCCCACGGGGCTTCAACGTTGGGGGGTCGGGAGAATAACCTGAAGGAATGAACAAACAAGGAATGCGAGGAAATGGAGGCAAGACAAAGTTCTGATCAAGCCTCAAAATTTTATTGAAAGTAGCAGGCATATATATACTGGTAGCTGGGAGGGGGAAGGTGAGGAGAAGGGGAGTGCTGGGCAGACGCTAATTGGTGCTGTTAGGCGGATGCTATAGCTAGGGAGGGTCATTTCTTATCCTAAAGGAACATTTGCTAACGGTTATAGTGAACATTTCTCAGGACTAACGTCTAGGGAAAACATTTCTCAAGGTTGACTTAACCTGGGTCACAAGTTGTTTTTCTACATTCTTTAACTAAGTGTTATCTTATAGAAACTTACAGAAAACCATAAGGCTGTTTTTACCCAAGGCCATAAAGGTTTGCAGGAAACCATAAAGCTGTCTTTTTCTCAGGGCCATAAAGATGTTTAGGAAACCTTAAAGCTGTCTTTTTCTCAGGGCCATAAAGATGCTTTTCTTCTGGCCTTTTGGCTCCCAACAGTTTATGATTTAACCCCAATGCATTTTGTCTGCTCCATTTCCCAGTACAACCCATGGCAGTGCACTGTGTAAATGGAAAAGACTGAAGTAGTTCCTACTGCCACCAGAAGCCATGAACTCTGATACTGCAGCCTCCTCCGCCTCTTGGTGTCACAGTGAAGTTTCTAGTTCTGAGACCCACTGGGGCCAGGCTAGAGAGTGTACCTGGCTTCTACAGTCCCTGAGCCCTGGAAGGCTACCAGAGAGAGCTGTGCATCCACTGACCTCGTGCAGGATGAACTTCTGATCCTCAGGGATGTGGTCCTCACAGAGATGCATGACAAGGTCATCCTTTCCTTCCTCCACAGCTACACAGGCCTCTGGCTGATGGGTGTTATAGCGTATTTCCTTCTTGGATGTGTACTCGAAAAACTAACGACAGGATGACCAACAAACATGTCAGTTTACCTTGTGGAGTGGAAGGGGAATCTGGGGGAAAGGGGTGGGGTCAGTTCAACATGCTCCCCTCCCACCTTCAGGAGTCTGTCTTGGAGCTCCAGGTGTCCTGGGGTACTGAGCTAGCCTCTAATGCAGAGCTTAACCAGTGCCATGGGGGCTCCCCTCTCCTGCCCCCCTCATTTGCTAGACAGAGTGGAAAGGGTAGGTGAAGTTAAGAGAGCTTGGGCCTGTCCCAGTGCTAGCCCTCAGGGGCTGTCTACAACCTTGACCTTGACCAGCTACTGCCTCTCCTTTCTCTTTCTTCACCAATACAAGACTGCAAAAAGGCCTGGAAACTATACAGTGCTGTTGGTGAGCCTGAATAATCTAAGGCTGTGGGGTCCAAACTATGAAAGTTCAGACTAGAAGGAAATTTGTGATCAAATGGTGAAATGCTCTGGGAGAAAACTATTGTGTCCCCAACCCTTTGTCTCCAGGTGTGGGGTAACCCTCAAGAAGGAAAGTTCTTTAAGTTCAAAATCCTTCCTTTCCATGCCCTGCATCCTTGAATAGCTCTGCCCTGCAGGTCACCTGCTTTGCTGGGACATCTCCAACTCTAGTCCTCAGAAGCTCCAGGACTGAGCCTCCCGTGCCCAGCCTGACCCAGGGTGCTTAATCCAGAAAGAGCTACCTGGGCCCCAGCTAGGGCCCCAACACTGCTTTGATGTAGTGCATCAAAACCTTTCACTTAAGAATTAATTCTGGGGCTGGTGAGAGGCTCCGCAGGTAAAGGCACTTGCCGCCAAGCCTGATGACCTGAGTTTAATTCCCAAGACTCACATGGTGGCAGGAGAGGACTGACTCTTACAAGTTGTCCGTTAATCTCCATACTCACATTGTGGCATACACACACACACACACACACACACACACACACACACACACACACAAATTTTAAAGGAATTAATTCTAAGGAAATCATCTTAACTGTGTATCTGTTATTTTC